AGCAATGGAGTACATTGCCAATCTACCCAACAAAGTACAGGCGGTAAATGCGATTTTGAATCAAGGAAACGAGACGAAAGAGGAGAGAGAGGAGAGACGCAGAGTGATAAGAGAGATCAAAAGTGGATTGAAGACGAAGGAGGAGAAGGAGCAGGCGGAGAGACGGATTCAGGAGAAGAATAAGGCATTGAGAGCACGATTGGAGATTGAAGTGCATGCTTTTGAGAAGGATCAGAAAAAAGCAGTAAGGAGATTTCTGTATGTAAGTATAGTAGGCCACCACGTCCAGATTTCCACACTCACCAACGTTGGGACAAAGTGCGTGGAACAGCTTTCTGAAATCCTCATCACTGATCGTTTTTCCCTTATCATTGCTCAGCGTTGGCAATAAATCACTGAGAGAATTCACACTTTCTGGCAGTTGATCACCATTCTGAATCTCGATTTTCAACGATTTTTCTGGATTTTCAGCTTTGGATTTTTCCAATTTTTCCACTTTTTTTGCAGTCTTTTTGGGCGATTTTTCTGGCTTTTTCTCCTTTTTCTCTGGCTTTTTCTCCTCCTTTCTCACAAATTCATCCATTTTTCTCTCCTTTGGTTTCTCCGATTGCTCAGCTTATTTTCCCTCGGATGCGCAATTTTTCTCGCGTTTTTCTCCGGTTTTCCCTTCAAATTCTTCGATTTTCCCAACCATTTTTCATCATTGGTTTTTGTTTTTTTCTCTGACGAATCGTCTGAATCCGGCGATTTTCGTTTTTGTCGAGTGATGTATCTGTCCATTTTCTAGTGCTGAAAATTGAGAGAAATCGATGTAAAATAGGTGAAAAATGAGCTGAAAAAACGGGAAAAAAGTAAATTTAGGAGAGAAAAAACTTTTAAAAATTAAAAATTAAAGATGGTGTGTTGTGAAAAATTTTATTGCTTTATTTTGTGCAGAAATCCATGTAGATCCCCATAAAAAGAAAGAAAAAATTCAAAAAAATTCCTTCATTGACAAAAACGGCATCGAAAAGTCAAAGTGGGATCCGGTGGCCTAGCGGCCAGGTGTGAGTTTTCTAGGCCATCTGCCGGTAAAAGCGCGCGAAATTTGAATTTTTATTGATTTTCAGTGTTTTCTCTGATGTTTTTTAAAGATTTCAAAGTTTTATTGTTAATTTCGTCCCGTGTGTATGAAAAAAACCTTACAAAAATTAGAGAAAACACTGAAAATCAATAAAAATTCAAATTTCGCGCGCTTTTACCGGCAGTTGGCCTAGAAAACTCACACCTGGCCGCTAGGCCACCGGTTCCCACTTTGACTTTTCGATGCCGTTTTTGTCAATGAAGGAATTTTTTTGAATTTTTTCTTTATTTTTATGGGGATCTACATGGATTTCTGCACAAAATAAAGCAATAAAAAAAATAAAGCAAAAAATTCTTCAAAAATTGAAAAATATTCAAGAAAAAACCATACGAAATTTCCGGCGAAAAATCAGAGGAAATTTCCAAATTTTCGAGATTTATTCAAGAAAAAAAACCTGGAATTTCGGGAAAAAAATCACTAAAAATTGGAAAATTCAACTAGAAAATAGGTTAAAATATCTAGTTTTCGCTTTAAAAAATTTCTTTAAAAACTAAAAACTTTCAAAAAAACAATTTTCAGAGAAAAAAACTGCTAAAACCAATTTTAAAAATCAAAGAGAAATACGAAATTTCGGCGGAAAATCAGAGGAAATTTCCAAATTTTCGAGATTTTTTCGAAAAAAAAAACCTGGAATCTCGGGAAAAAATAGCTGAAAGTTCGAAAATTCGACTAGGAAAATAGAGAAAAAAGGTGAAATTTCAAAAACTAGAATCACAACAAAAAACAGCTGTAAATGATTTTCAGTCGAAAATCAGAGGAAAATAAGAAATTTCAGCAAAAATGGTCCAAAAAATCATCAGCTAAAAAAACAAAGAAAAATGCAAAATTTCAGTCAAAAATAAGCAAAAAAAAATATGAAAAAAATCAATTTTTGAAAAGAAAAATGAAATAAAAATCTGTATTTCAAACAGTTAAAAAACGAGAAAAAATCCTTTAAGAAACTATTTTATTGCAAGATAAAACAAAAATACCCGCATTAAAATTTCTAAATCTAAAAAATTTAAATTCAACAGAAACAAAAAAAACGAGTCTCTACAAATCTAAAAACCTAAAATTCTACAAAAAAAAAACATGAAAACTCCGAATTATTCTACCAATTCTTCTCCAATGGCGATTCGATAATATATCCTCCAAGGTCAAACACCGCCCGTCCAGCGTTCAAAAGTGACGGATTGAAACGGACCAGACCGAATAGGTCCGACAGGGCGTCGAGCTCAAACCACGTGGCACGAGAGAGTCTGCAAAATTGAGAGAGTGGCTAGAGAATGGAGAAAAATTGAAGTATGGTTCTCCATGGCAGCTTGCTCATCGAAAAAATCGAAAAATTGACTTTTATTCCTTTTTTTTCTGACATTCTGAAATTGTAGTTTTTAGTTTGAAAGATGTCTAAATCGTGGTTTTTAGACATTTCTCAAACTACAAACTACAATTTCAGAATGTCACAAAAAGGAAAAAAAAACGTCAATTTTTCGAATTTTCGATGTCATGGAAAGCCGTGGACAAGGAGAAGAGAGAGTGTGAGAAACCGAGAGGGTCCAGAGAAAAAAATTAAGAAAATTGGAAAAAGCGAAACGTGGGCTAAAAATTGCTTGCAATGCCGCACAGATTTTTCTGCGCATTAGGCTCCGCCCCTTTGGCTCCGCCCACTTTCCCAAGAATGTTTTTTTCGAATTTTTTCTCGGGGTTACTATTTTTTCGGAAATCTAATTTTCATAAAAATTCGATTTTCGCAACTTTTCATAAAAACTTAATTTCGACTGATTTTCAGCTCGAAATTTTAATTTGGCTTAAAATTGCCTAAAAATGGCTTAAAATTGCTCAAAATTGCCTACAAATCGCTTAAAATTGCTCAAAAATGGCTAAAAATGGGTCAAAATTCTCGAAATTCGATTCAAATTCTGAGCAATCAATGCTCCTACCTGGAACAAATAATCGTCGCCCACGCGAGCTCAATATCCGCATTCCTTAGACCAATCGAATACGATCGGGACGCCCGTGAAATCGTCGAAACCATCACCAAATTGTTCTTCAACACAGAGACAAGGGCTTCAAGGCTACCGTAATCCTGTTCGATGTTCTTTCCCTGTGACGTCATCAGTCGGGAGACAACGTTGTTGATTCGAGACATCGAGAATTCCAGCTCTTGGCATGCCATCTGCAAAATTTCGGAAATTTCGAGAAAATGAGCTGGAATAAAGCTCAAATTTCAATTTTAGCTCAAAAATCGAAGTCTGGAGCGCCTCCAGCGCGTCTCAAATTCCAATTTTAGTCTAGAATTGAAGTTTTCGAATTAAAATTAAAAAAAAAATTTTTTTATAGATTCTAGGGTTCAAAAATAAAAGGGGGGGGGGGCTAAGGCGCGCCATGTGAAATTCCGGCGAGAATGAACCTGAAAGGATGGGCTCTGGGGCTTTTTTCAGTCTTAAAACTTCAATTCCGGAAGGCTGGAGCGCCTCTGGCGCGCTTTTAGCGCCCCAAAACCCACATTTTTGCTCATTTTGGCTCACCTGCAAACTCGGATGAGCATGTTCTGCGATATAATGTGTCAATCCGGGATTCTTCATCTTCTCCTCCTGAGTTTTCTAGGTCACCAACCTTTTTGGTCTTGAAATAACTTGATATTCATTTGGTGTGATTCCTAGGCCATATTAACATGATGGCCTAACTTTTGCAATGTGAGTTTTCTAGGCCACCGCCTCAAAATGGCCTAGAAAGCCCATCGAAGAATGTTAGGTCGTTTCTAGGCCATTCGCTACGATGGCCTAGAAAATTCTTGTGTCAAAAATTAGGTCATCACACTGTACATATTCCTCGAGGATTCCGAATTTCAACGCTTCTGAAGTTCCTAGGAATCTGTGATTCTGTTATTCTGAAGCTTAAAATTTCCGAAAAATTCAAGAAAATCTGTCTGTGTGTCTGTATATCCCTCTCAATTTTAGATAAATTGTACGATTCGGACGATAGCATCATTTCGGAAATCGATTTCATGGACGCAGAGCAGCTCGCGGCGGATACTGTAAGTCAGGAAATTTTCCAATATTTTGGAATTTTCGGCTCAATTTCTATTAAAAATCCAAAATGTTCAAATTTCGGAATTAAAAAATGAAATTTGAAAATTTCCAGATTTTTCGATTAAAATTTTCGATTAAATTACCGTCAAACCTGTAATAGAAGGCCCCTCTCCTAATTGTCGATTTTGAGCCAATTTATCTCGGTTCCTGATAAAGATATAAGAAATTTGTCAACTGATAAATTGTTTATCATAATACCCTATACATTTTATCAGTTGACACATTTTTGATATCTCTTATAGGAGCTGAGATAATTGAGCACAAACTTGTCAGTGTGGGGGGCCCTTCTATTACAGGTTTTACGGTAAATTGACCCAAATTTCCAGGCTCGCTGCCGTGAAGCAATGGAGTACATTGCCAATCTACCCAACAAAGTACAGGCGGTAAATGCGATTTTGAATCAAGGAAACGAGACGAAAGAGGAGAGAGAGGAGAGACGCAGAGTGATAAGAGAGATCAAAAGTGGATTGAAGACGAAGGAGGAGAAGGAGCAGGCGGAGAGACGGATTCAGGAGAAGAATAAGGCATTGAGAGCACGATTGGAGATTGAAGTGCATGCTTTTGAGAAGGATCAGAAAAAAGCAGTAAGGAGACATCTGGATGCAGGGATAGACAGATGGAATGCGTTTTTGTAGCCTTTTTAGACGGTTTAAATGGCTGTAAATGGCTGAAAAAACGTTGAAAGTCGGGGTTTTTTTGTCCTTTTGAGGACTGAAAATGACTTTGAATCCTGAAAAGTTGGCAAAAATCGGCTGAAAAAATCGGTTGAAAAAATCGGTTGAACGATCTGAATTCGGCCAAAAACAAGTCAAAAATCTTTTTTTTTTGAATTCCCGCCAAACTGAAAGCTCGGAAAAATTAGAAAAATTTTCACACCTTTTTAGAGTTTTCAGTTATTTTTGTTGATTTTTCCAATTTTTGTCTGAAATTTGATGGAACAGTGTTTGTCTGGGATTACTGTAGATTACTGTAGAAGCCATTGTATAAAGTTGTGTTTTTGAAGCGATTGTGATTGCAAAAAAACTACAAAAGGAAATAAGTTTTCTACAGTAGCCTACAGTAATCTTCGCGAATCAAATTTCAGTCGAAAAATTTGGAAAATCAGAAAAGAATGATCAAAAATAGCTGAAAACCCTGAAAAGCCTTAAAAATTCAAAATCGAAAAAATATATTTATTCTGTTGAAAATTCGCTTTAAAGGCTCCGCGTCACTTCGAAACCAGTCAGTTCGAAACCGCGACACTTCGAAACCGAAAAAAATTCCCTATAAAAATGAAATTGAAAATTGGAAATTTTGAGTCTCAAATTAAAGAAAAAGTGCAAATTTTCGCAGTTTCGAAATGACCGGTTTCAAAACGACCGGTTTCGAAATGACCGATTTCGAAGTGACGCGGAGCCGCTTTAAAGAGGGGATCCGGTTCTTAAAACAAGTGATAAAGAACTACTGAAATACCATCAGACCTGAATTAGAAGGGTCGGCCCTTCAATCGTTCCAAGAAACCGCCGGAGGGTCCTTCTATTACAGGTTTTACGTATACCCTACTTCCTCTAACAGAATGTGCCCACCCAAACCGTACAACGTTAAGCTCAATTGTCTCGATTCCTGTAAATGATATCAGAAATGTGTCAACTGTTAAAACATTGATGATATTGTGATAAACATTTTATCAGTTGACAAAATTATGATATCTCTTACAGGAATCGAGATAACTGAGCTCAAAGTTGAGCGGTTTGAATAGGCTTCTATTGGAGGAGATACGGTAGCAAAATTTGGCTGAAATTTGCAGTCTGACGCCGATCTTCCCCTCATCACATGTCGTCAATTCGCCTCGCTTCTCGGAGTGATGGTTGAATTCGCTCCGGAAGCTAAAAAATCGGATTTGGAGGCTGGAACCATTGATTTTCGTGCACAAATTGACGAGATTGATGAGGAGGCGATGGAGAAAAAGTTGGTGTTTTTTTTTCAAATTCTTGGCTGGCGCGCCTTTGACGCATCTTCTAAAATTTTCAAAACTTGCAGACTGAAATTCGGTCCAAAACGGTCTGCATTTTACACGAGGAACAAAACGATAACCGAATATTTGAAGCTAAAAGTCCGACAGTTCTTCAAAAGTGAGGATATTTTCGATGTGTTGAATGGAGAGAGATATGGTTTTGAGTTTTCGACGAAAGGTAAGCGAGAGAGAGAGAGAGAGAGAGAGAGAGAGAGAGAGAGAGAGAGAGAGCTAGACTACAAAGACTACAAGGGCTACAAACTATAAAAGAAATATTTGAAATTTCAAATAAATTTGCGCAAATTGGGTTTTTTAGGCCACCATAGTAAATGGCCTAGAAAGCACACCAATTGAATTGAATGTGAGACCATTTCTGGGTCGTTTTCACATAGTGGCCTAACTTTTGCAAGTTGAATTTTGTAGGCCATCAACCTTTTTGGTCTGGAAATCACTTTATATTACTAGAAAGTGTTCTCTAGGTCATTTCACCATGGTGGCCTAACATTCGTGAGTTGAGTTTTCTAGGCCACCATGTTAAATGACCTAGAAAACACACCAGGGACACATTAGACCGTTTCTAGGCTATAACCTTTGGTGGCCTAGAAAACTCAACTGGCAAAAGTAAGGCCACCATGTTAAAACGACCCAGAAATGCTCACGCTCACCTGACGTGTTTTCTAGACCATTTTGACGTTGTGGACTAACTATTGCGTTTTCTAGGCCACCATGACGAATGGCCTGAAAAGCAAATCAGAAACTTTCTAAATAAATCTTAAACTTTGACGGCCTAGAGAACTCAACTTGCGAAAGTTAGGCCAGCATGCTAACTGGCTGAGGGATCACACAAGTGACTGTTTGACCGTTTCTAGGTTATAAACGTTGATGGCCTAGAAAAATCATGTTGAGAAAGTTAGGTCATCAACATTTTGTGCTAGAAATGGTCTAGTGTTCATCTGGCGTGTTTTCCAAACCATTTTAACATGGTGGCCTAACTTTTGCATGTTGAGTTTTTTAGGCCACCATGTTAAATTACCTAGAAAACAGACCAGGGACATGTTAGAACATTTCTAGGCCATAAACTTTGATGGCCTAGAAAATTAAACTCGCAAAAGTTAGGCCACTATGCTAACTGACTGAGGGATCTCACCAGGTAAATGTTTGACAGTTTTTAAGTCATGAACTTTGATGGCCTAGAAAACTTATGTTGAGAAAGTTAGGCCCTCAACATTTTTGTGCTAGAAATAGCCTAATATTCATCTGAGGTGTTTCTAGATCATTTTAACATGGTTGCCTAACTTTTGCAGAGTGAGTTTTCTAGACCACCACTAAAAATGGCCTGGAAAGCACACCTGGTGAATATCAGGTCATTTCTAGGTTATTAAAGTTGGTGGCCGAACTTTTGAAAGTAGAGTTTTCTAGGCCACCATGATGAATGTCCTAGAGAAGAAAGAAAAAAGTCTGAAATTCCAGAATGTCTCCAAGTGCTCGTCACCTACTTCACATCAAACAAACCGAAACGTGACGATGGATCTTCTGCGAAACCATTGGCAATTAATATCAAAAAGCTGGTTGCATCTGCCTACTATACCACACGATCGGCCAAGAAGGAAATACCGATTAACGAGGCGCTGAGAATGGCTCTTTTCGATTGATTTTTTATCCATTTTCTATGAATATCCTGATTTTTAACCTGATTTCGCGAGCTTTTTTTTGTAAATTTTGGTCCTTTTTTTCTTTTTAAATCGTATTTTCTCTGTGTTTTCTCATCTCTAGAATCTCCGGAATTCCGATTTTACCCCATTTTCCCTGATTTTTTCAAATCTCTTGTCACCCCCAAACATCTCAAAACAGGATATGATTCCAAATTTTCCCTGTAATTCTTTCATTTTTTCGCATTTTTCGAAAAAATATGACCAATTTTACTGTACCCCTAGAAATCCTTTCCCGTTTGATCCTATAATTTTATGTCTATCACATGCCCCAAGCAACTTTAAAAAATCAATTTTTCCTATGTAGATCTCAAGAATTCCGTATGAATGCTTTACTGTGTGCATTGTTGAATTTTGGTTTTATTCTTGAAAAATTGAAAAATTGAGAAACTTGAAACAGCAAACTTTAATTGTTTGAAAATTTTGGAATTTCGAAAAAATTTGAGAATTTTGAAACATTAAACAAAACTGCGATTTTTTTGAATTGTGATTTTTGTACTGCTAGTTCAATTATTTTTCTAGCCTCAACCTTGAATTTCAGAAAAAAATTTGAAACAGTAATTTTTCAAAAAAAAATTATGTAAAAAATGTGTTTTTTTTCTAAAAATCTAAAACCAAAAGAAGCTAATTTAATGAAAAATTCTGCAATTGAAAATTCGTTGCTTCTTTTTTATTTTCAAAACGACCAACTCTGATAAAACCAATTTTTCAAAATCGTGGTCCAAAATCTTGTAAAATAATGGAACAGTAATTTTTTTAGAAAATTTTTCTTTTGAAAATTTGAATTTGTCTTTTTTGAGAATCTGAATTTTATGATTTTCAAGATTTTAAAGGAGGCGAGACAGCAATAATTTCGGGGGCAGACGAAATCGCGCTTATGTAGACCATCGGTCGTCAGGCGCCTTCGCGCCCCCGTAGCTCAGCCGGTAGCGGCGCTGTACCCCTGAGCTGCCTGTCATGAGTTCAACCCCTCATGGGGGTTCTCTATGCAAAATATCAGGAAAACTTTTTTTTTGGTGTCTAGGCCTCCTTTAAGAAAAATAGAATTTTTCCAAAAAACGAAATCTATAAGAAAATCAACACGAAAAGATGCGAAATCCGCAGAGAATTTGGTCACACCACAAGGAGACGCAGACATGTACAGGGATGGGGGTACTGTAGTTTTCGAATTTTTAAATTTGTTTTGAAAATTTCAGAAACCAAAACCAAAACAACAGAAGACTGTGAATTTAGTGGAATTTTCTGGAAAAAAATTTAGATTTCTTGGCAGAGTGCCGATTCGACTCGAAAATCGACGACTTTTTGTTGACTTTGAAATCGACAAAATCGACATTCAACAATTCGACAAGGCTATTTGTCGATGAAAATCGAACTTTTTCGGATTTCAGTTGGCTAGAAAACTCAACTTGCAGCGCTTTGAAATGACCTGAAACATACTAGGTGAAACTGATTTTCAGAAATTATAGAAAGTTCAAAAAAAAAAGCGTTGTTTCAAATTCATTCCAAAAGATTGATACCAAGTTTGAGCTCTGTATCTTATAAACCGAAATTTTATGGTATTTGGATTTTTGGAATTACAGATTGAGAATTTTAGAAAATCTGAATTTTTTGGAAATCTGAATTTCTGAAATTCCGAGATTTGGAATTTCTGAGTTTCAGGAATTAGAACATTCTGTAATTCTGAAATTCTGTAACTCAAAAAATTCAGAAATTCAGAAATTCAGAAAATTTGAGAATCTGAAATTCGGAAATAAGGAAACTCTTAACTTTTGAAAATTCGAAGTTCAGAAAATCAGAAATTCAAAAGTTCGGAAACCCAGAAATTTCAGAAATTCTGGATTCCTGGAATCTTGGGATCCTGTTATTCTAAGTTTCTGGATTTTTGAATTACTTAAGTTCGGGAATTCTAAAAACCTGAAAACTTGAATTCATGAATTTTCGATTGTCTGAACCAAAAAAAATAAATAAAAAGTAAATTTTATACAAATTTATTTTTCAGAAAAATAATTAAATACAAACTCGCGAAACGAATAGGGGTATTGATAACAGAAATATCCAATTCTGAAGAAAACGGGGACCAGTATGGGTTTAAACAAATTTTGGTTTGGAGAGAAAAAAGACAAGAATGACCACATATTTTCTGCCTAAAGAAATTACAGATCAATGAGATCATTTGAGGGGGACATATAGTTGACGAAAAGGATGTTTAAAGGCGCATGCGTATCAAAAACTAGAAAAAATAATTGTTAAGTGCACAAGCCTTTAAAATTGTAGGGTCCGTCGAAGTTGCTACAGGCCACTTGTTTTTGAGGTAAATTATCTCAGCTCCTTTTAGAGATATCAAAAACTTGTCAATCGATAAAATGTAATTGATATTATGATAAACATTTTATCAGTTAACCAATTTTTGATATCTCTTATAGGAACCGAGATAATTGAGATCAAAGTGGGAGCATTTAATTTGAAAAAAATTAATTGCAGTTTCTAGATATTTCAAATAAAAGTTTTGAACTTCTTTAATAGTACTTTTGTTATCTCAATTTATAAAAATGATATCAAAAATCTTTCAAGTGATAAAATGTAGCTGATATTATGACGAACATTTTATCAGTGGACAATTACTTGATATCTCTTATGGGAACCGAAATAATTGATCTCAAAGTTCAAGTACAGAAGTTATTTCGTTCAATAAAGCTCCTAGTTCTGTTTGACCCCAGTTATCTCAGTTCCTAAAATATATATCAAAAGTATGTCAACTGATAAAATGTCTATTATATTATCAGCAACATTTTATCAGTTGACCAATCTTTCGTGTCTCTTATGGAAACCGAGATAATTGAGCGCAAACGTTGTGATCTTAAGTAGCTCAGATTTCGAGTTTAAAGTCGCATATCTCTTTTTACTAGTTTCTGACACACATTTCCATAAAAAAAACAAAACCGAAAATCAATTCAAGTACACGGTAGATCAATTTTCTTGAGGACCCGCGAAAAACTGCTACGCGAGAGAATTGGCAGAGTGATTTCGGACGACGACAAGCGGTCGTGCTTCGAAGAAACGAGCCGAACGGAATGTTTGCCGGTCAAGGCCTCCACCTCGTGAATGTCGCGAAGACGGTGTCTGAAACATCGACTTTTGGATTGAAATTTTCGGGATTACCGTATTTCCTTTAATAGAAGCTCATCCTATGCGTGCATTTTGAGCTCAATTATCTCAACTCCTATGAGAGATATAAAAAATTTGTCAATTGATAAAATTTTTGTGATAGTAGGATAAAGATTTTATCAGTTGACAAATTTTTGATATCTTCCATAGGGATTGAGATGATTGAGCTCAAAGTTGGCAACTCGGATGGGTTTCTATTAGAGGAAACACGGTTTCAAGGGTACAGGAATTCTTCTAGATTGACGTGATGTGCAAACACTGTCAAAATGTGGATTACTGGAACTTAAGCGTCACTATTGTTGCTACTAGAGATAAGTAGAAAAGTTAAGAATTTTCGGGAAATCAGAAACTATGGGAAATGCTAAGATTCTGAAACTCTGAATTTGAAGAATTTCAAAATTCCAAAATCTAGTTTAAAGATAAAAGACCATCTAACTTTGACCAGATTTATCTCAGTTCCTAAAAATGATACCAAAACTTTGTCCACTAATGAAATGTTTGTGATAAAATGATGAACATTTTATCAATTGACAGTTTTTTTGATATCTTTCATAGGAAACGAGATAAATTGACTCAAAAATACAAATAGGACTTTTTCATTGATAAAAAGTTTAATTATGAAAAAAAAATCAAAAACTGAAACAGTTAACTTTTTTGGTACTTTTCAAGTTTTAGCATTTTCAGATTTCAGAATTTCAGAATTTTAGAATTTCACATTCCCTGAATTTTAGAATATCTTATTTTCAGTTTTTTTCGAATTCTGAATTTCTGAATTTTAAGACATTTAGTAACTAAAAAGGCACAAAATCAGATTAGGTGCAAAAAAAGCCAAGCAAAAAAATTAAAGCGTTTTCAGAGGCAGCCAAATTAAAAAAAAACAAAAAATAACTAAAATCTCTCGGGTTACGGTATCTTACAGCAGATTTTTCATCACACGACGCCGGGTTTATGACGCCAGAGAAACGAGAACGATTTCGGAAACTGAATATGCAATTTTGATGGGTTATTGAACGATTTTTTGGTTTTTGGGTTAATTCAAATACTTGAAAAATTCAAAATATGAGGGAAACCGAATATGAACTGCAAAAAAATTATTTAAAAAAAACTGAAATTACAGTACTTCCTTCAATAGAAGACCACTCGAACCATCCACTTTGAGCTCAATTATCTCGATTCCTGTGCAAGATGTCAAAATTTTTTCAACTGATAAAAAATTGGTGACTTCATGATAAAAAATTTATCAGTTGCCACATTTTTTATATCTCTTACAGTAATCGAGATAATTGAACTTAAAGTGGAAAGTTCGGGCGAGCTTCTTTTAGAGGAGATACGGTATGCATTTTTTGGTGAATCTGGAAATCCTGAAAATTTTTAAAAATAAAGTTACCTCTTGCTATTATCCGTTAAAAGTCGGAATTCTTTGAAAACGACACATGGCAATAATTTTGATGAGAAATAACAGAATCCCTCTCGGAAACGGGCGTTTCGAATGAAATAAATCACTGGATTGACGATGGAGTGAAGCATGGCGAGCCCATGGGCAAACCACCTGGAATTTTGGGTTATTTTGAAAATGAAAAGAGCTAAAAAACTACAAAAAGGTAGGAAATTTTCCGGTGATCATTTATGTAGTTGACAAATTTTTTGTAGGGTTTCTAGTCTTTGAGATATGAGCCTTTAAAGTTTCCAAACCTCCAATTCTCAGAAAATCAAAAATTCGGAACATCAAAATTTTGTACTGTTGCAAAAAAAATTGTTTAAGACAATTATCGATACTTGGAATTTAATGAACCACCTTCATTTACTCACCACAAATAGAGAATATATTCCCAACTGTTGATATTTGGATAGAATTCTGGAATCACATTGATCAGGATGAGCAATGGAAGCCAGCAGAGAGCAAAGAGGGCTGAGATGAGAATTACCATTGGGACCAGCTGAAAATTTTTACTGTTTCAATTTTACCAAAAAAATTGTGATGTCGGTTAAAAATTTAATTGGCTGTATTTGGCTGTATTTTTTTAAAACAAATTTCGCACTCTTCGAATATTTCAAGTTCCCCAAAACTGGAACACATTTCAGTTGATTTTCGGTCATTTTCAGGAGTCTTTAACTCGGCTCTGAGGTTTCCGATCACTTTGAAAATTGTGGAGAATGTAAAACAGACCTAGATTAAAAGCTTTGCATTTATAGAATTTTTTGAAAATTCGTAGTTTTTCAGATATTTCCCTATCTCTGGAAGACACCTCTTTTTCCAGTTTTCATCACAAAAACATGCCAAAAACCAATCACTATCTAAACGTATTTTAACTAGATTTGGATCGAGTTTAATGCATTAAGCTAGTTCCAAATCTACCGTTCGAAACAGTAATTTTTGGATTTTCGAGAGTAGTTTTTTTCCAGAAGGATTTCAGATCATTTGCAAGGGGAAATTTCTTTAAATTTCTAAATTTACTGTTTCAATTATTATTCTATACAAATTCTCAAAAAGGGACAGACAGACGCCTCTAGCGTTTTATATATAAGGAATATTGCGATTTCCTGAACATAAATCAGTGAAATCCAGACTTTTGAAAGAGAAACACTGAAAGCATAGATTTTGTTTCGTCCACAATCGCTACATTATCAAAACGTATTAGACTAGTAAATTCTAATTGAAATATTTGAAACAGTAACTTTGATATCTTAGCAAAAAACCGCAACAGTTGTCAACAAAACAAGCAAGTGTGGCGGTATGAGGGAAAAAGCTGGTAGCCGGGGCCGAAGTATCCACGACGAGGTCTAGAAAGAAAAAAAACACCGATTACTGTACATCATTAGGCAAAAATATGTACGAATTCTCGTCAAAAAATAAAACCTCATCAAAAAATAAAATTCTTCGATTAAATATTTACTGTTTCAATTGTCGATCTAATGTTTCGGATGTAAATTTGATGAAGTGACGGATTAGATGTGGCTGCACGAATTTAAAGCACTAAAAAAGTGGTCCAAAATTTGTCGATTTGTCTGAAAAATTTTAGAGTATACTAAACAAAAATAGAGCTTTAAAGGGGGACTCCGACCAGAAATTTTTATTGCATTAAAATGTGTTAAAAGTTATCTATTTTTCAAATATTATTGCGAAAAAATTCAAAGAAAATCCGAAATCCCCGAAAAACGGCGTTGAAAAGGAAGAAAATTCAAAAAAAGGTGCCGCCGGGGGACGAGGATTTTCAGTGAGAAACCTAGGCCACGGCACCTGACAGCCTTTTTTTCAAGTCGCCGACAGTAGATTTTTACGTTTTTTACCTGCCGGACATGAAATTGAAAAAAATCCGGAAAATTTGACACGTAGGAAAGGCGCCCACTGCCGTGGCCTAGGTTTCTCACTGAAAATCCTCGTCCCCCGGCGGCACTTTTTTTTTGAATTTTCTTCTTTTTCAA